TTCTATGCATAAAATCATTCTTTATTATTTTTTGGTACCTATTATGAAGTATAGTGTCTCACTATTAATTATTTCTTAACAAGAGGAAAATGACCTGACTTAGACCCGAGGTCAACGTTTTTTCTTTAATTTATAAATATAAACATTTAATACGTAAAAGACTAGGAAATAAAACAAAGTGACCATATTATAAAATATAAACAATGTCCAAACCTGGTGTCAAGGTTGCTTTGGTAAACAAACCGCGCTATGTATTATGCAGTCAAATTGTTTTAGTTCCGATAGTTTGTGTAGTTGTCTTGGTGAGTCAGTGTCAGATAGAACTGATTTTTGTGGCAACAGAATTCATAATTTTACCGCCATGCGTCTAAATTTATTTTTAACAAAAATTTGAGTTTAATTTATGCGTGAATTATCGAGAAAATACGTGGAAATCAAAATGCACGTCGGCGGTAATATATTGCACTCGATGTACTGCAGTCGGAGAACTGATTCATTTGATGTAAATATGGGTAAATTGATTATTAATACTCGTGACTTTTTACTTGTTTTCGGGTCTACAGAGATGAGAGAGAGGAGCAGAAATGCGGCAAGGACACGTAGGGAGAACGAGAATGCCGAATTCCTAGAATTGGCCAAACTCTTGCCATTACCAGCGGCCATTACTAGCCAATTAGATAAAGCTTCAGTCATCCGGTTGACCACTAGCTACTTAAAAATGAGACACGTCTTCCCTAACGGTAAGAATAATACGTGATTTTTTTTTTATCTGTACTCAGAATTAGTTTGTTAAYACTTATGTACTACTAGTATTTATTACACCTATCTCATAATTTAGGATTAGGCGACGCTTGGGGTGCAGCGACCCCAACAAACCATGCGAAAGAAGCTTGTATTAAAGAACTTGGTTCATATCTACTACAGGTAAATATATTAAAGGTAATTAGATAAAACGGATAATAATTAAACTTTTAATGATTCGGAATAACAACTTTTTGTTATTAATTTCCCAATCCTTTTATGAAGCCATTGGATTGTATTTAATCAGTTATGGTGTCATGCTGATCAAGCACAAATGACAAATTAGTAATTACGATTATATAAGTATTCTACAACATTTTTTTATTTATAACAATATAATTTATCAATTCACTTATTAACACCGGAAAAATTGTTGGTATGTGCTTTCTGGAGCATCGTAATACATTCAACCTAACTATGATTATTATTAACTTTAATTGTATAATTCATATTATATTTACCTATGGCTTTATTTTATAGAGTCTCGATGGTTTTATATTCGTAGTAGGCGGTGATGGAAAGATCATGTATATATCTGAAACAGCATCTGTTCATTTGGGGTTGTCACAGGTAAATAAAATATATTATTATTACATTATAAATATATTTAATATCTAAAAAAAAACAGATGTTTCTGACATAATTTTTTTTAATCACTTTTTGAATAATACAATATTTTTTAAATTTTTTTTTATTAAGGTGGAATTGACTGGTAATAGTATATTTGAATATATCCATCAAGCTGATCACGATGAAATGATATCAGTGCTTAGTCCACCTCTTCCTCAAAATCTTCCAGCGGAGAACATGATGATGAGTGAGTTATTACATAATAAACTATTTATACGATTTATTGGAAATTACTGACTCTAATAAAATAAATAAATGTTAGATTCGACCGTATTTGAACTTCAACGTGTATTTTTTTTACGAATGAAATGTGTATTGGCAAAACGGAACGCAGGGCTCACAACAGGAGGATACAAGGTAAATTTATATTACATTATACTATTATGCACTTATAGATTTAAAATTTAAAAATTAATTATGATAAGAACTTAAACAAGCAAAATTGATGATTGGTTTTTAAATAAAAATATGACTGTTTGTATTATCTATATCTGATGGCAGTAACCAGTAGATTAACTTGAGTGTTCAGTTCTTCAATTATTAATTTCAGGACAATTTTTAATTCCTTAATTATTTATGTGATATAAAACATTTTAGCACAAATTATTAAGCCACAAATATAAAAGTATTATTTCTAAAAAACAAAAGTATTTAAGAAAACATTTTCGTGTTTACGAATAAAGAAAAATTACCTTTTGAAAACTTAAAACTTGAAACTTATGGTAACCAGATGGTTATCTGCAACATGCTTTAGCATTTTATAATTATCAGTCATATTTTATGACATATTAGATAATATTATATATTTAAWTTAGGGAWTATTATGTTAAGTAYACATCGTACTCGTACAGAGGAAATAGGTTAGTAACATAATATTACAAAAATGATTATATTTTTCCATTGTGTAGAAACTTAATAAGATATAATTCTGATAGAATATCATATTAATTCATATAGATGTATAATATTTTCTCCACTACTTGTCTGAATTTAAGCTAATAAGTTAAGTTTTTTTACTTTAATTTTATCCGTGTAAAAAATATACAATGGTACAAATTATAAACATAATATTGTGAATTGCTTAAAAATATAATTCTTATCAATTTTTGGAGGTATTTCATCAATTTCTTACTTTTATCATTAAAAATGTAACTTGCATATTAACACGTAGGTGATGTAGAATTACTAATGTTTGGCGTAGGTACGTGTGATAATGATAATAAAAAATAAAAACAATGTAGCATGTTATTTTTTCAATTATAAGGATTAAAGATAATATTTTAAACTATCGCGACCAGCGCGAAAAAAAMAAGCTACCTATGGGTTAATGACATTTAATATTTTTGTTGCACTCAATCACTAACTACAGCCTAAACAATAAAACTATAAAATGGTCTAGTAGCAGTTTAAACACTTACTGCCAATACAAAACCTAAACGTGTTTACATTCGTAATTTATTATTTAGTTATCTTGTACACATACTCAATACCCATACATGATCGTAAAAACTAACAAGGCCAAAAATCAATATTTTAATAAAATAAAAATTGTATTTAAATTATAAATAACCACGTTACAGTATTTAAATTATTTATTTTTTCATTAGATGATTGGTTATAGCTTAAAAAATATTATAGTTTACTTAAATGCAACATTGAGGTACATGGTTCAAGATTCAAATAAAAAATATGTGTTATRTGTATAGTTTAGTATGTTAAAATTATAATATAGTTTTACATTTTATTTTTAACGAAACATTATCTAATTATTTTAAGACCGAATGTTTATAAAATATTATATTTTACACATAATAATAATAAGTAAAGTTAAAAATAGTTTTATGTGTAAACAATAATAATGCGTAAAGCGTGTAAACAATGCAGAATAACCTTCACCGTTGTTATACATGTAAAATAATTTTATAAATATAAGTTTTATTGTTTATCCAAGTAAAAAAATGAGTTAAATAAAAATATAAGTTATATAAAMCGTTAATAATTGTTTTTTAACTGTTTTAAGACGTTCAACATTTTTTCCTTATCATTTTATAAATTAAAAGTTTTTAATTTTTTTCAATTCAATATTTCATTCAATGTAGGTAGGTAAATGAAAATTAATTACTATACAATTTTTTATTTAATCCTATTATACAAACATTGAAACTAAATTCATATTTGCTTATTGATTATGATTAGGTACTGCTCATAGAATTATTTTTATTAAAAAAGAAAAAAAATATCTTTTATTTCAGTTTATAATGTGATTGGTATCAATATTAGATTTTGAACAATCACTCTAAACTTACAACTCTTGTAATATTTCGCAAATAATTCCGAAATTCAAAACTGTTATTATTTAATCATCACGATTTATAATTGTATAATGTGAATTGTCTTAACGGGCCTTTAATTTGCTATGTTATATTAATACTACGTCTGCTACTCATATATTTATTTTCGACGGTGCGTTGTTTTGTTTATTTATGTTTTTGCACCAAAAACTAAAAAAAAAATTGGAAAAATGTGCGGTATGTTTTATGTCGTTTTAAGATGTTAGTTGACAATTGTTAAAAACATATCTATAACATTTATTCAATGACGCTGATGGATATAATTAGCTTATTACCTAACGGTGGCAGAATCATAGCCAGTTAAAAAAAAATATATATATATAGATGAATCGTAAGTAGGTACCCGTCAACCGAATCAACGAGCCAATCTATAATAACATTAAGGTTAGGCATATCATGAACTCATGTGCAATGGACGTGTTAACTTGCCTAGCGCTTGCCACTTTTATTTGAAACAATTATTAGGTATTTTTTGTATGCATATAGATATTAGACTGTTAAGCATAAATTATTTGATAGAATCGGAACCCTCTAAAATCTATCAAGTTCACCATCCATATAATATAAACATCCCTTTATGTGAAAACGCCATTGTACTTTTAGTTGTCGTTTACTTTTGATATTGTTGCGGAATTAAATGTTATAGGTAGATATAAATTGCCATTGTTTGAATTGGAAAAATAATAGGAGGACTTAATCTTTTCTAAAAAAAAGGCTTATTGAGAAAATATTTTTATATAGTTTTACCATAGGCGTTACATGCACATGCAACTCAATTCTGCCTTCAAATAAATTMTATATTTAAATTTTAAATATTAATTTAAAATTAAAAATGAATAAAAATAGAGTCCTTAAAAATGCTGTAACGTGTATTATCATCTGTCTATCAGAAYAATTAACTAAAGCTAATGGTATTAAATTGTTAAAATTATGATTATATTACGGTTTACGGTTTACGGATCTAACTATCAGTACTAATTAAGTTTATACTTACCTCGTATAGTGTTATATTGGAGTAGGTACTAGGTACACAAAAAAAAACTACATTAGGTAGTACAATACTATAAACTATTAAGTAAAAAAACGAGTTCTGATCGTCTTTTTCTCTGTGTTTTATTTAGATGAAATAAATTTAAGTCATGGAATATGCAGAAATATATGAATTTTTTAAGCAATGGTTATAGGTATGGTTAAAGTATTTGTATCTTCCACGACAATCCCATTCAATTACTAAGATTCAAAAGCATACTGATAAACACAAYGTGTAAATAATATGCGTATTATAGTAGATATTATACGCTTTGTCGCTTTGAAATAATATAATACTTATGAATATATGATGCTGAAAGTTACGAGGTAACTAAATAGGTATCACATTACCTAATGGCTATATTGATAAAATATTGTCGTATGATCTTACTGATCTATTTCCGAGGCTTATTTCGAACAGGTATTATCTATATTATGTATAGATTATACTAATAATAAATATATGATATATTTCGTATTTAATCCCAGGTAACCAACTGGATCACTCGAATTGTCAAAATACGGTCGGCTGTCATATATTTTCGATTTCTTATTTAAAGTACTATATTTAATTTTACGTTTGCTCATTATTGCTTTTTATATGTCTGACCATGTCCACTTCCATAGTTTCAAAATGAATTGTTTCTACTCTAAGACCGTAATAAAAATGTACGTACCTATTAGTGTATTACATATTTAMACGTRAACACGTTAAAAATTAAAAACATTTTATATCGTAGCAGTTTTTACTATAATATATTATATTATCATGTACCTATATCGTGTTACCTGTATTTTACATATTCCTGTTTAAAAGTATTTTATATCCCACAATATATGTACAATTTTAAACTGTCCATGCTGTATATTTTGCACGTGGTCAATAAATTTATATAATAATATGTAAAATTAGGATAGGTACTATATACTATATAATAGTAGCTATTGGTTGTATACTTATATAGGTATTATAGTATAACCTAGAGTTATTTTAAATTAATATTATATAACATTATACGCTTTTCTTTCCCTATACGTAGAAAAGTTTCATATATTTGATTTATGATCTATATAATATACATGCATGTACATATATATAAAATATATATGATGTACATTTTTTTTTATTTTGAGTCTTTTTTTAATCAATCTTCAATAAGTTTTTTATCAATATTTCATGTTACAGTTGGTATTAATTGCGTTTTTTTATGCCTTGAGTTTTATCTGTCATATATATACCGGGTGATTCTTTTATCATTGAACAGTCATTATTTCAATAAGTATCAATGTTTTNTTTTTTTTTGTTGTTGCGGACGGCTTAAGTGTAGGCCATAAAAATCACTCGTGTGCCCTGGCGTGTGTTCGTGCATACATTACGGAGCTAATGCTCGCGCATATATAGACTCATATAACGAATGGTCGCGTATTGCTGCAGCATATTATAATAAATATATTTAYAATATTATACATATATTATATAATCACACAGTATGCGTACGGTATAATATGTGTGCCGTGTCGATTGTTATAACATACGTAATAATACAGGATATATTATACAATATACATTACGAGGGGCCAGGAAATGGTATGAAAGGAGYGGGGAAAATAAAAAGGAGTGAAATAATAAAATACAACGGGCGGCGCCATGTTGCGGGGGCCCAGGTGTGCGCGCGCGAGTGAGTTTAATCGCCGCCGGATTTACCTGTATTTTTGGCCGTCCGTTTGCCATTGGCCACGCACGCCGCGGGCGTCCTCGCAACACTCTTCGAGAGTCCTCCTCTTTTTCAGTATTTTTTCCTCGTTACTTCTTTCTCTGCAGCACGATCGAGCTCGCGCTCAAGGATGAATGATAAAGCGTTAAATATCTCATCATCTATAGTCATACCAACTAATAAGGCTGCGTATATTTCACGGCGGTAGGTATATATCCTGCTCCGGGGTGGGCCAATAGGATATTGTATAATATTAGATGAT